TGATTAAATGACAGGTTCGTTCATAGTACATTGCCACAGCTTCTCTGACGGGCTCATTCAATGGATGTCCAGTTTATACAAAATATATTGGCAGTTTTCTGCTGTCTGGACAAACAGGCAATTTGATTGGCTGCCTGTGGAGAAGGCAGTCCTCTCACTGGTTGGGATCAGTGAAAGGGGGGCAGGTTTCTTCAGGACTTCCTGTAGCTGGGTGGCAATGCGAGATGTCTGCAGCAGTAAAGCCTGATGGTTCTCCACCAGCAGACTCTGATGTCGAGCCAGATTCTGCAGCTCCTGGATCTGCTGAGACCCCTAAAGACACAACGGCGAACCCAGGTTACATTAGTTAAACCAGAAGTTACCTGTCCAGGTGACATGCTGAACATGTGCCTGGTTTATAAGTCTGAATAGATGCACGTCTCGTCTCATCCTCAAAGCTTACATGATCGGCCCACCGCATTTCTCTGAGGTTCATCTCTGACGCTAAAGCCCTCGCTCATCACTGGCCCTGTTCAGAGCGCCGTTTCAAGGAGCGATATTTACGTCCCATGTTTAACCTTTATCCTCCATAACGCCAAAATAGCCACAGTTGCATAACGGGGGGACAAAATTATTCCCCCCATGTAGACCGTCTTCAAAGGTAGTAATAGAGGGGCTACTAAGCTAAACTAAACTACTTATACTCAAATAAGCTAAACTTAAACCAAATGTGACTCACCTGAGTTCCCAGCATGCCTAGCAGTTGGACCACCTGGACTTGGCCCTTGGCGACCTCCTTCTGGACCTGGACCAGCTGTTTGAGCTGGTCAAGCACTTCCTGTTTCCACGCCGCCTCCTGCTGCTGGACCTGCTCAGATAGCCCAGGGGGAGGGGCTTGGTCAGGCAACTGGGCGATGCCCATTGTCATGGCAGCAGGTGCATCGTCATGGTGATAACCTGCAGTGAAGATGACTGAAGTCAAAACTTCAGTCTTTTACTCGAGGTCAACGTTTCTAAAGAGGATGTTAGAGGTGTGTCTGTATTTTGATTGACAGGTGTCTCAGCCTATAGACTCCTCAGTGAGTCCCTTCAGCAGCGGGCCCAGAACCTTGTCTTGCAGGTTCAAACTAATGCTACACATTCACATAAATTAAAAACTCAAATGTTACCAGGTGTTAAACTAAATAGACGCCTCATTCACCAGAACCAGATGAACATTTCAACCCTTGAGCTCCCCCTACAGGTGAAAATGTGTACTGTCTGTCTTCATGAGTCTAAAAAGATTGTTTGAGGCACAATAATTAAAACACACATACGTGAACGTTTGTTTCAGTGTTACTACAGCGCCCCCTATGTGTGACATGGTGTAAAATCATCAACTGTCACATCGTACACACAAACGACCTCCTGCTGCTTTAGACGTTTACTGTCACTGCGGGCTCATCGATTGACAGATATGAAGAACGTTCCCACTCACTTTGGTCTGATTAGAGTAAAGAGCTGTCGAGTTACAGAAGTTAATGACTGAAGCATATTTAAAAAAACACACTGATGAGTCTTCATCCAAAGACCACACTGTCGCCTTTAACACTTCATAACTGACTACAAGGTGGCGCTATAGGTATCAGATATTACCTCTGAAAGATTTCTCCCGTAGACGTCCATAATACATTTCATATTTTAATATTTTATGTGAAAGTATAGTATAGTAATATCAGACTAAGTGTGAAGTGGCGTATGAATCTTTATAAGGAAACACTTGGTTATAACTCGATGATGATGGAGAAACTTTCAGACACAAAACCAGGAAATGAAGATTTTTTTAAATGTCATCTAAAGAATATAAAACAGATTTGAAGTGAAGCTTCATGTAACAGTTAAACACGTTGTCATCAAGTTTCACAACCAGAACAAGAAGTGAAACAAGTGTGTGTGTGTGTGTGTGTGTGTGTGTGTGTGTGTGTGTGTGTGTGTGTGTGTGTGTGTGTGTGTGAATGTTTGATTGACGTCCCCCATCTGTTCCTGCAGGGGGCTTTAGAGTCCTATAGATGGCGGTCTCCATGCTGGAAATGCTGTCTCCCCCTAAAGACAGGCTGAGAGCTGAGGCGGGTTTTAAGCCTCTTAACAATCATGCCAGTTGCGCGCCTGACTATGGATAAAACGTATTGTTTTCAAAATCAGAACAGAACAGAGTTCACCCCCCGTACAGTGTGTGCCAGTAATGACAATAACTAATCAGACCTATTTGGTTTTATGTACCAGGCTGTAAACATGTTTTTTAATGCTGTAAAAACTCCTTTTTACCTGTTCTGTGTATGTGACTTCCTGTGTTCCAGGAGCCAGCCTAAAGTGGATTCTTGACAATTGCAGGATTTTACACTTCAGCATCGACTTCATTGTTAAAGACCGGAGGTTGCTGCTTGGTCTGTGTGTGTGCCATCAGTTCAGTCAAAGTCAAAGTTCAGTTATTTTGTCTGAAAGTGAATACAATCTGTAACCTTCAGGACGAGAGATCAACATAACACTTAAATACCAAAAACTGCAGTTCCTCCAGTGTCCACTAGAATCTGTCTCCTGCAGTGAGTTAGAGATAATTCACTTTTAATTTGAGTTATAATGATGACTATAAAGATTCCAGTTTCTCCACAGACACAAACAATTATTGATTAATTTAAAATAAAAATCAGTTGATTCTTTTATTTTTGTCAAGGTGATACTGCATAAACTTCTGTGTGGACAGCACTGTCCCAGCAAGGACTGTGCTTTGTTATTCTAACAAAAGCCATGGATAACAAAGGACATAAAGGCTATCCTGAATGCTAAGAAGAGGGCTTTTAGATACGATAATCAGGAGGAGGTGAGAAAAACTCAGGAGGTCCTGAAAGTTAAGATCAGGGAGGCCAAGGACAACTACAGGAGGAAGCTGGAGCGAAAGCTCCAGCAGAACAACACCAGGGAGGTTTGGAGTAGCATGAAGACCATCACAGGCTTCAGGATGACCAGCAGCAGAGGTGTTGATGGCAGCGTGGACAGAGCCAACGAGCTAAATCTGTTCTTTACAGGGGCTAACTTTCAAAAATACTGCGTTTGCAGTGATACTGCATGGCCGTTAGGCGAACTGCAACAGTAACCTGTTGCTCGCTCTCCCTCGCTTGCTCGTCATACATGCTCGTACATACACAAACGAGCAGCGTCATCAGCTGCGAAACACTAGATATTTAGAATGTTTACAGAGGAGGTAAGTGGTCATACACATGTGAAAGTCTGTTAAGGAGTCTGTGTGTCTGTATTCATTCTCCATCCTACAAACGACAGTCTCGGGAAAAATGTTATACAGACAGTGAACATCTACTTTTTCACATCAGTTAACCGTTCGCTTATTAATGGGCGATAAAAAACAATTTATACATGTAAAATTTACATATAGCCCCTTTAATAGATTCGACACGGTCCCTGCTCCCCCGCACCCTGTCTCTGCTGACTGCCTGCTGACTCCACGCAGGCAAGGCTGCAGGCCCTGATGGCAGTCCCAAGGTGCTTAAGCCTGTGCCCCCCAGCTCTGTGGAGTACTCCATCACACCCTTTGGAGACTCAGCATGAGCCTGAGTCTCCAAAGGGTTCCTGTACCGAAGACGCCGTACCCCAGCGACGCCAAGGACTACAGACCAGTGGCACTGACGTCCCACATCATGAAGACTCTAGAGAGACTCATCTTGGATCAGCTCCGGCCGACAGCCAGGTCCCAATTAGATCCTCTCCAGTTTGCCTACCAGCCCCGACTGGGAGTCGAGGACGCCATCACCTTCCTGTTAGACTGCGTCTACGCTCACCTGGACAAACCGGACAGCACTGTGAGGGTCATATTTTTTTACTTTTCCAATGCTTTTGACACCACCCGACCGGCTCTACTGGGTGAGAAGATAGCAACACTGCAGGTTGATGCTCCTCTCGTCTCATGGATTGTTGACTACCTGACTGGAAGACCACAGTATGTACGCCTTACACACTGTAAGTCAGACAGAGTGGTCAGCAACACTGGGGTCCCACAGGGGACGGTCCTGTCTCCCTTCCTCTTCACCCTCTACACCACAGACTTCAACTACAACACAGAGTCCTGCCACCTTCAGAAGTTTTCTGAGGACTCGGCTGTGGTTGGATGCATCAGCAAGAGTGAGGAGGCCGAGTACAGGGCTGTGGTGGGTGACTTTGTCGCATGGTGCGAGCAGAACCAGCTCCTGGTTCAACATGGCCAAGACAAAGGAACTGGTGGTGGATCTTAGGAGAAAAAAGGCACCGCTGACCCCTATTTCCATTCAGGGGGTCAGTGTGGACAGAGTGGATAACTACAAGTACTTGGGGGTGTACTTGGACAATAAACTGGACTGGAGTAAAAACACAGAGGCCGTCTACAAGAAGGGCCTGAGCCGCCTCTACTTCCTGAGGTGGCTGAGGTCCTTTAACACCTGCAGACGATGCTGAGGATGTTTTATGAATCTGTGGTGGCCAGCGCTATCCTGTTTGCTGTGTGGTGTGCTGGGGCAGCAGGCTGAGAGTAGAGGACGCCAACAGACTCAACAGACTGATCTGCAAGGCCAGTGACATTATCGGGATGGAGCTTGACTCTCTGACAGTGGTGTCAGAGAGGAGGATGCTGTCAAAGCTGTGTAGCATCTTGGCCATTGTCCCACATCCACTCCACGGTGTACTGGTCGGACACAGTTGCACATTCAGTGCAAGACTGATTCCTCCATGATGCAACACAGAACGACACAGGAGGCCATTCCTGCCTGTGGCCATCAGACTTTATAACTCCTCCCTCTAAGAATCACACCCGGACACTGGATTATTAACCTGGACATATTTATTTAACTCTGAAACTGTGCAATCTGTCTGCAAAATGGTCAATACACTGTGCAATATATTTGTATTTATTGTGTGAAGAGCAATGGTAACGCCGAATAACCCCCTGGGATTAATAAAGTATTTCTGATTCTGATTCTGATTGTGATGTCATCTTTTGGAGAGTCGGCTAATTAACCAATTAACCACTGACTAACCACTAACGTTAATCCAGAGACAAATCTGATGTGGTCAGGAACATACGTAAAAGATTAAGAGAGTTTTGAAAATTTGTCCACAGGGGGCGCAACTGTGTGTGAGTGTGTGTGTGTGTGTGTGTGTGTGTGTGTGTGTGTGTGTGTGTGTGTGTGTGTGTGTGTGTGTGTGTGTGTGTGTGTGTGTGTGTTTGTGTGTGTGAAAGTGAGTGTTGGGGAGGGTGATGTTATGAAATCTTGGAGATTCAGGAAACACATTTTTCTTTGAGACACACACACACACACACACACACACACACACACACACACACACACACACACACACACACACTAGGATAATGCGTGTATAAGGGTCTCTACTTCCTTGTCTCACTTCTTCTTTTCTCTAAAATTCTCAGTGGGTGGGGTAAATGAACGGATGACCACGTCAACATGTTAACAGACTTCCCATAATACTACTAATAATAATGATAACAGTTGTTATCATTATTGATACAGGCCTGGAGTTCTGCAGACCATCGCATTTTTGAGTTTGAGCTGCTCACACCCGATCACCTTATTGGTTGTTTTGTTGTGATGAGAATATATGATGAGTGACACATAAATAAATCATAAATCCAGTCTATCCTAGGTAAATGTGTCTCTGAGTCCTGACTGTCTACAATGAATGAGAAGCCCGAGTCCCGCTGGCTGTGTTGTTGTCAGCACTGTGTTTACATGGACGGGACGGCCAGCTACTCCCCTTGTGTATAAAAGCTGTTTTAGTCAAGGACTAGAGAGAAGAAGATCATACTCACTGATTATTTGGCTGTTAGTACGAGTTTTTAGATCATGGTTAATTTACATGCTAAGTTAGGCTACGAGCTAACTAAAGAACGCTAACATTAGCATGCTAACACAACAATGCAGCTGGAGACAAGGACAAATTTATCCGCTGTTTGTGTTTAGCTCTTAGCGTTTAGTGCTAAATTATGTAGCATTCCAATTTGATAACTTGTTGGTGCTAACCTTGGACAGACTGTGTGAGGGCACGCTTTAAAAGAGCTCTGTCCCCTCGGCTAGTGAAGCTCTAAATAAGCTTCCACGCTGACTGGCCTTTTTCATCACCGATGTGTTTCTTTCTTTTTGTTTATACGTGTTCTTCATGTTTTCATATATGTATACGTGTGTACCAACTGTGCAAAGCCATAACAACAAATTTCCCTCTGGGGGGCAATAAAGTATTGTATTGTAAATATGAATGTTTGAAGTCTGATAGACTTCGCCCGTCTGTTCCTGCAGGGGGCCCTTGAGTCCCATTGATGGCGGTCTCCATGCTGTCTCAGCCTAACTTTCAGTCAACCTAACGACAGGCTGAGAGCTGGAGCTGAGGCGGGATTTAAGCCTCCTGACAAACCGTTACACCGCGTCCGAACAGTGTGTGCCGATCGAGACATGAGCTAATCAGACCTATTTACCAGACCTACCTACCTCTGCTGTAAAAACAGACTTTTTTGAATGGGTGTGTATGCGACTTCCTGTGCTTCTGCAGCCAGCCTCTAGTGGACACTCGAGGAACTATGATGATTGAATTTATTCATGTTTTAATTTTATCTGATTTATTTGAAAAGGTTCAGATTAACATCATAAATATAGATATTAGTTATATATATGGTATTTAGTGAAAATATAAATATTTTAAAGTTTAATTTCATGATATTTATTTAGAATGAATATTTACATTTTTCATTCATCTTTATGAAATAAACTCAAACTTTATCAACATTTAAAGTTTGTTAATAAAGAATAAATAACAACAATAATATATTTAATAATAATTACATGAATGACATGTTGATTAACTTTATGTAAACAATAATAATCATTTAATAAACATTGAATGATCTTGTTTATTAATATCTGACTCGTTTATTTATAAAGAATCTTTGAATTAATTGATTAAACCCTAAATTATAATTTCTCCCATAAAGTCTTTCATGACTCAACAGACTTCAATTATATCTAATGAACACGTTCATATCTCCAACGCTTCATCATGGAGTAACTAAAGGTAAACAAGCTGTAAACAAACTGTAAACAGACTGTAAACAAACTACAAGCTGTAAATAAACTGTAAACAAACACTGACCTGCAGCAGAGCAGCTGAGGACGATCGACAGCAGCAGACAGCAGACTTTCATCTCTCTCTCTCTGTTCTTCACTCTGAGTTAAACTGAAGCAGAACAAACTTCTTCAAGACTATCAGAGATGTGGCCCTGCCCCCTCTCCTGACTCCTCCCACTGGTGCCTACTGCCCCTCCCCTCATGGTGTGGTCACAGGGTCAGGTCTGGAGGAGTCACACATTTGAAGTGTTGTGATATCTTGCAGTTTGATAACAAGGTTTTTAGAACATTTACTGTTAGCTTACTAACTAGCTAGCCTACAGCGCTGAGGGGAAGGAACTATTGCCATGGCAACAAAGCGTGT